TATATATTATAGCATATTATACATAATATATCTAATTTAAAAATAAAATATAATTAAATGGGACGGGTAAACATAGAATAGGTTTGGAGACCTCTAAATTTGTCTCTGCCCTGCGATCCGTTACAAGTTAAAATTTTAACCCATTTATAATTCAAATCTGTTTAAAGTGGATTTTTTTCCGCCCCGCTTAATGTGGGTCATGTGGTTAAATGGGTTTGCGGTTTACCAAGGTTGTTGTTGTTTATGTTATTACCGCTTATTACTTTTTCTCAGTTTCATTAACCTTTTTTTTTTTCTGTTGTTGTTATGTATTACTTTTCTGTCGTTTCTTCATTTTCTAGCAATTTAATTATTGTCGTTTCCGTCAGTAATCTTTTTATTACTTTGGTGCCGTTTTCTTGCCATTTCATTCTTGTCGTTTCTAATTTGTTGACCTTTACATCTTAGGAGCTATTTTTTAATTTGCAGTCATTACATAATTTCACCGTATTTGTTGGGGTTTAGGATTGTCGGTTTGTACGTTGTTGTCCTTTCACAATTTTGACGTTACAATCTATTTTCCAGTCGTTTTGTACATTGTTTGTCGCTTTTCAAGTTATCTCGTTTACTATTTTCTTGTCGTTTACTCACTAGTGCCATTGTTTTCTACATTTTTGTTTTCCTCTTTTATTTGGCAGTCGTTTCCTACATTGTTTGTCGCTTTTCACGTTATTGTCGTTTACTATCTTCTTGCCGTTTTCTAACAATTGTTTTTCAGTGCTGTTTCTTGTCGTTTACCCCTAATTGCCAGTGTATTCCACATTGTCGTTTTCCTCTTTTATTTGGCAGTCGTTTACTACATTGTTTGTCGCTTTTCACGTTATTGTCGTTTACTATCTTCTTGTCGTTTTCTCACTATTGTTTTTCAGTGTTGTTTCTCAATTTGCGGTCACCTATTTCTCTTTTGTTTGTCGTTTATTTTCATACTGTCGTTTTTATTTTATAGTTCTTTATTATTGTGATTCTCTTTTTTTTTTTTTGGAAATATATTGAAACTTAAACATTACCTGACCAAATACCAAAAGAAAATAGAGCTTTTGTTTGTTTGCTACATCAAAATAACACAATATTATAAGAAAAAGAAAGTGAGAGAGAGCAGAGAAGAAGGAGAAGCTATTAACCTTGTGTGGGATCTCCTACTTGATCTGAAAAAATACTGATTTTTAAAAATCAATTTTTGCAAGAATTTGTTACAGCTATTTCAGGAGAGTCAACTGTGAAAGAAAAATTAAACGAGTTAAGATAAGTATTCTAAGTTGTGTCTATTATCAGACTTTAGATCTCTATATTAAGACGCCAACGAATTTACCTATTTAGATTTGTTGTATCAAGTTTTTTGTATTGAGTTTTCTGTAAGCTCATAGTTTGTTGATTAATGAAATGTTTTTTGCATTAAAAAAAATATGCCAAAAAAAAAAAAGCAGAAAATCCTCAGCTGAGAGCTGATAGCAGATAGGAAATAAAAATAATAATAAAGTGATAAAAATAAACGAAAAGGAAGCAAAGAGAGTGAAAATTGTGCCAGCAAAAAGATATCTGCATCAGCGTGTTCATCTGCCTAAGAAGATTTTATAATTAAACACTTAAAAAGGATTCAATTTAAACTTCATAAAAAAACTGCACACCCAGTTAAGAATTCTAAAAAAAAATAAAAAACGGATAGAAACATACCATTTTCATACCCCCCAAAAAAAAAAAAAAAAAAAAAAAAAAAAAAAAAAACCCCCCAAAAAAAAAAAAAAAAAAAAAAAAAAAAAAGAGATAGAAGAGAAAAAGAAGAAGAGTATTTCCATCATACCATTTTCAGGATCTAGCTATTTCAGTGGTCGAACAAAAACGGCCAAAGGAAAATGGAGGAGCTGAAGCTCTCACAAAAATGTTAATATGGCAACAATGTCCCAAAAGGATAGAAACATAATTGGGTGCAGCGCTGACGAAAATTTCCCAAAGCCAAAGCCAACCATGAAGATTGGAAATCACTTCTAAATTGAACATTCATCAACGCTGCACTCAATGACGTTTCATTTATCTGGAACGTTTAGATCTCGATTTTTTTCTTTTTTTTTTTTTTTCCAAAAAAAAAAAAAAAAAAAAAAAAAAAAAAAAAGAGTATCAGTTCTCACGTCCCGTCGAGATCTTTGATCTTAATTACCTGTTCAACATGCCTAAGACGATCCAAGTGTTTTAATTTATATATATTCGCCAACGATCATGATCAGACAATGTCGTACACGGACTTTTAAGCTTGTGTAGTACAAAACTTTTAACTTGATGAATTCAACATTTTGTGCTGCTCTGCTCTCCGCTAGACTTTTCGAGTTTTGCTTAGGTTTGTACTAGCGCGTCGTTACTTGTACTGGAAAAAGTTGTACTACATATTATCCCTGGTCGCCCCAAAGCCTGTATTCTTTCTATTTCTAACTTGTTTAGTTTGTTAGTTTGAATTCTTAATTTAAATTGAGATATGATTTTATATGAGAGTTTTTTATTATAGTAAAAAAAATTAAATATAATTATTTTTAAGAGTTTTTTATTATAATAAAATTTAAATTCTAAACTCAAATCCATAAAATAAACAAAATATTAATATTTTATTTTCCATCTTTCCAGGAAATTATATAGATACATTAGTCTTGCAATTTGCAATATTTTAATGTTGTAACCTGATAACTCCAACAAAGGACGGTTACGTTTGTTTCATATAATTTTGATTAAAAAGAAAAACAGAAATTTATTCACAGCGTGTTTAAGGCAGAGGTACCGAAGCTTCTGAGATATGTAGATGCGTTGTGTAATGAAACAAATCAGTGAAGATCATGACTCAAGAGCATGTAAATCCTAGTAAAGTCTCAGTTATTATGTCACGATATTTATAGGGATGATGGCACTAGTAGATACTCAAAGATGTTTTTTTTTTTTTTTTTTTTTTTTTTTTTAATACAACCTACCATTTTTCTTGTTGATGGCATACATGTCAATTGGTACTTTATTTTCTCTTTTTTTCCTTTACTGAAAGCCAATTGATACTTAAAGCATCTTTAATGGAATACTATAATTAATGTGTCAATTGATACATAAAACATTTTCTAATACAACACTATATGTTGTGTTAAATTTTTCATATGTTACACAATTGCCACCAAGTATAACATATGAGAAATTTAGCATTTGATTGTTATTGGTTGAAATGTTTACTTTTTCATTTAATCATTGTAACTTTGGCATTTTCTAATTATTTTAAAGAGAGATTATCTGGTATCTCTAGCGTACCGGTAGGCCAAATTTTTTAATCATTAGATCTGCATACTTTTTGACTTTTATGTTATTTTATGCAGATCTGATCGACAAAAAATATGGTCTACCGATATGTTGGTGTACCAGAGAAGGTCCCTATTTTAAAATTAAAAGTTTACTTTTACAATTTTCAAACCTTTTAATGATTACTGAAAAAATTAGATTTAACATTTCAAATAGCATTATGCATTAGAGCATCTTCAATGCAATGCTATAATTAATGTGCAAATTACAAATTTAACATTTGAATGCAAAAAAAACTCTCCGATGCAATGCTATTTGTTGTGCCAAATTTCTCATATGCTATATACTTTGTGGCAAATTTTTCACCAAGTATAACATATGAGAAATTTAACATTTTATTATTTTTGGTTAAAATTTTTCTTTTTCATGTAATCATTGCAACTTTTACATTTTTTAATTATTTTAAACATAAAAGCTTAATTTTACAACTTTCAAAACTTAATAATTATAGAAAAAAGTAAATTTAGCATTTCAAATAGCATTATGCATTGGAAAAAAATGAAAATAATATACCATATCACACTTTTTGATGGTAAATATACAATTGACATAAGCATTTGTATTAGAGATTGTCTTAGAGCAACAATGAATATAATATATCATATTATACTTTTTCAAATAGCATTATGCATTAGAGTATTTTCAATGCAATGCTATAATTAATGTGCCAATTACAAATTTAACATTTGAATGCAAAAAAAAACTCTCCGATGCAATGCTATTTGTTGTGCCAAATTTCTCATATGCTATATACTTTGTGGCAAATTTTTTACCAAGTATAATATATGAGAAATTTGACATTTGATTGTTATTGGTTAAAATTTTTACTTTTTCATATAATCATTGTAACTTTTACATTTTTTAATTATTTTAAACATAAAAGCTTAATTTTACAACTTTCAAAGCTTAATAATTATAGAAAAAAATAGATTTAACATTTCAAATAGCATTATGCATTGGAAAAAATGAAAATAATATACCATATCACACTTTTTGATGGTAAATATACAATTGACATAAGCATTTGTATTAGAGATTGTCTTAGAGTAACAATAAATATAATATATCATATTATACTTTTTGATGTTAAATATACAATTAGAATTAACATTTGCATTGAAGATAGATTTAATAGTTATAAAGTAATGCTTCCTTTAAGGAAAACATAATAATGCAATCACATACTTTATGAAGAAAAAAAAATGCATTCAAATTGCCAACTCAAAATGGTTATGATCATAAGCCCCTGAACTTACAAAATGGTGAATGAAAAATAATTACACAAACTAACTTGTATATGAAATAATTAAACAAACTAGCTTGTTCGTGAGAAGTGTTTCAAAATCCGTGCTCTGCATATAGGAAATTACAAATTGCTTAATTCAAGTTTCAATTCAGCATATTTTTGTGCCTTGAACTTGAACACTGAATCCTTGTCCTAATTCATATCTACCCTTTTTCTAATCACAAGAGCACACGAAAATCATGTACCATACCCAACAGTTAATAAGGCTAAAAATATACACAGCAAGTTTCATCCTTGTAAAATCCAAACTATTTCCCCATTGATCACTTATTTTAATCTCTCATTGGTACTGGAAACAAACTATTTGCCCTATAAACGAAAAATCATGTCAGTATTAAAAAAAAAAAAAAGAAAAAAAAGAAAAAGAAAAGATATAAGACTTCTCCTTAAAACGAGCGATTGCCTATGAGCCACAACCAATCAAGAGCAACACCAGAAAAGATACCTCCCAAAAGGAACACCACAAGGATATTACCCAAAGCATTTTGTTCAGGTCCCTGAAAAATTTTAGACCAAATCTCAGTAATTAGCTTAAATTTAATAAAAGGATTAATAAACAAACTTTCAATTACACATACCTTGTAACCTTTAGGAGCTGCAGTGAGCACACAGACAGTGAGATAACCGTTGGTTAACCCCAAGAGGGAAGTGAGCATAATCATCCATCCTTGGTCAGCATATTTTGCTGTGAAGTAGAAAGCCGGGATGAACAAGAAACGAGCGATGATCGAAGTGAAAATTCCCTTCCTCGATTCGAGATTCAGACACTTCACAAGAGGAATGCATCTCCCAACAAGATCCAACACATTGTACATGGCCATCAAAACGAGTGGATACCTGTCCATAATACAAATACCATGGTGTAGTCAAAGTTAGCAAATGTCAAGATTTGTTTTCTTTTTAACATCTGAGGGACAAAGTATTTTTACCATGTGCCCAATTGGTGATTTCCAGTGTTTTCATACAAGAAACCAGGGAAGATGGACAATGTTATCACATAAATCAAATACAAGCCAAGCGCGTAATCGATGTTCTCGAGGATTAGTTTCTTCTTGCTCATCCTTACAACCTGTTACGTGAGTTTTTAAAGAATTGAGTATCATCACGATTCTAGCATTGTAGAGTGAAAAAGATAGGCTGAAGAAAGTAGTGGCACTACCAGTTGGTCTGATTGTGTCTCAATGCCAACAGCGGCGAGGTCAGATGCCACGGTTTTGGATCCTTCTAAGGCTGCCTTCTTGCGGAAGTGTTTCACTATTGGCAATTTAGGGAAGACAAAGGCGTAGAGGAAGATGCAAATGAACTCGGAGAAGGCAGAGATGGCTAGAAACAATACTGCAAAAGACGAAAAACAAGTAGCAGTTTAATTCGAAATGACTTCAATCATACAATTATACAAATTACGACTACCATGGTGAAAAAAAATTTACGTATGTACTTACAAGTGCCCTTGCGAAGACCATGATCAGTTTTGTCAAAGGCCGCTCTTGTGACTAGCCTCAGACCAGAGGTCAGGACACCTGATCCAGCCAAGCCAGCCATGAAGGACTGAAAAATGATAGAAAAGAGTCTCAAAATTAACCCGTACTAGGATTAGAGATATTAAAAAGGGATTAGAGATATTAAGTGGATGTTTAGTTTATGAATTTAGAATCATGATTTAGAACCATTTTTTATTTACTTGTTTTTTATGAGAGAATATTATAACGAGCCACGAATCATGATCCGAATTATGGCACGAATCCACCAACCAAATACACACTAAAAAGAGATTATTGATGCAATCACGCCCTCTTCCCTACTCAACAATAGCAGATTTTTTTTAAGAACCTGACTCAATTATATTTAAAGAATATATCAGTTTCACTTCCACCTGGACAAACCCAATGCTTTACAGTTCACTGATGCCTTATAATAAGGCCCCGTTTATTTTACTATTTGAGTTTAAAATTTGAGTTTTATTACAGTAAAAAAGCTCTAAAAAATAGTAACATTTAACTTTTTTACTACAGTACTACAGTAAAAAACTCTCATTTACATCTCAACTCAAATTAGCGAACTAAACAATCCTAAAAAACTTGAGCACATTCTAGAAGAGAGAAAAAAAAAAAGTAGTGTGAAACCTGAATGAACTCAGGAAGCATAAAAGCAAGGTCTCCAACCATTCCACCTTGAACAAGTGCATCTGCAACCCCAAAGGAAGCAACAAGAACACATATTCCTATGTAAGGCACAACTCCTCCATTTCCATGCGTTGCCAGGTCAACCTGTTAAAGAGGAGCGAAATTGGACTAAGAAAATGGGAGACAAACACAACATGGAATTGATAGTACTAAAACACAAATTAAGTGCTTACAACTATGAGGAGGAAGGTGCTAATGAAGAAGAGAGCATATCCACAAATATTCCTCCTTCGAGTATTGATCTTCGCCTCATTGCAGGCAAGTATCGCCATTGTCCCGACGGCGAACGGCTGATAAACGAGGGTAAGCACCCGAGAAGGATGGTATTTCTTCAAAATTAAACACAAAAAAAGATCACATTAGGCCAACTGAGAAACAGTTCAATAAAGGGCAGAGAAAGTCTAAACTCAATAGTATAAAGAAAATGAATATGGCTGGGACACAGAAAAATACCGGGAAAAGTTCATAATAGTAATCTCCAATGGTCAGCATGCTGTTCCAAGCGACAAGAGAACCCAGCCCAAGAACCCAACAAACAAAAATTGCCTTATATCTCCCCTGTTTATTTTTTTGTAAACAAATTTTTAACCAAGAAAAATAAATACATTAATTTTCTGAATGAAGAAAACAGAACCAAAAAAAAAAAAAAAAAACTGAAGAATGCACTAACCTCATGATTCACATCAACCCCGCTCTCATTGGCAACCTTCATGACTTCTTCCTTTCTATCACAATTGCAAACCGACTTTAGATCAATGCGTTACTTTATATGTAGCTTTATATATTGAAATAAACTCAAGAACAAAAGAGAAATGTGTCAAAATATGATTAAACTAAGAGTAGCTGGAGTAAAAAAAAGTATTAAAAAATTTAAAAGTTAAAAAAAAAGGCAAAATACCTAGGAAATATAAGTTAAATAATAAATCTTATCTTCAGAAAAATACTTTTAAGGACGGAGTGGAATGAAAAGTGTAAATTGAAAAAATAAAGAAGCAAGAATGGTGGGGAGTGAAATTTTTAATGCCAAAGCTAGAAAAACAATAAAGAATAAAGATCGTTTACCTTTTAAGATAACGTGGATACCATTTACTAGCAATTTAAGTCGTGGATACAATACTTAAAAAGCATCGAAAAACCAATAGCTGCCAAAGAATCTTTTCGGCTTAGTATATCCAGGACAAACAACTTTATCTTATTTTCTGGAAAGTCATGCAAAATAGATTCCACTTTTATCGAACTGTATTTTTCAGCCTTTTTGAGTTTACATCACAGGAAAAAAAAAAAAAAAAAAAAAGGGCAGAAAATACGAAAGAAAACAGCCAAGAAACAAGAATATGTCAGCGCTTTGGTGGTCTCAACAAGTAGCCGGATTTCCCTTAAAAAAAAAATAAAAAAAAATAAAAAGGGGTACTCAGATATTTTCTTTTTTGACAAAAAAAAAAATCTTAAGAAGATGGATTGAAAAATAAAAGTTTGATTTGGCTCTGTTTTTCCCCCACCATGGAGGTTTTTATGCTCACGGAAGAAGAATCATAACTTCCCTTAAAAAAAAAAAAAAAAAAAGAAAGAAAGAAAGAAAGAAGAATCATTACAGTCCACAAATGAACAACTCGCCAACTTCAATAATGGGTAGAAAGCAGAATCAAAATGGCAATAAATTAATCAATTATTGTCATCGGATTGTGTATCACATATTCACATTGACATTGAAAACATGAAAAGAGAAATTAATAAATAGAAATAAAATTGCACGACAGTCTTACCTGTTAGTCATCTCCATACTTCTCTTTCTTGCTCACAAAAGAAGTCAAATCCAAGAAATGTGAAAGCGTTCTATAAATTTACACGTGAATTTCAAGCCGAAAAACAAATTCATATCTAATATGACTATATCTATATTTTTAAGTATCCTCTTTTTATAGGTAATCTAGTTTAGTTATCTTTTTTTTTTGCTGAGAAATCGTAACTATCTTTTATTTCAAAATACAAACTTTTAAACTTCGAATTGGATATTATTTTGGGACTGTTTATTATCAAAGTACTTATTCCACATTTATGATTCTCAAGTACTATTTTTATGTTTGATTTTCCGGAGATAACTGAAACTATGGATATATCCATTAATATTACATTCATTCACATTGGAGCAATAGCATAATATAATACATATTCCATTCACATTAGATCTTTTTATTATTATTATTTTCCTCGTGTGTTCATATTATACTTTATATTTAATTGGGAATTAAACCTGGCAATTTATATCTGATTGGGAATTAAACCTGGCAATTTATATTTGATTGGGAATCAAACCTGACAAATTGGGTAGGCTATAATGCTAAGATGCTAACTCAAATTTTAATTTTTTGTATCACGTGAGTCGTTATTTTTTTATTAGTAAATACAATCTATTTTATTAATTAACGTGACAAAGTTTCAAATAACTACTAATATAAAAGTGACAATTCACATACCACATTGATTAGTATAAAAACATTATTCTATATAAATTTATGAATCACTAAAAACAACTACATATTATTCTCTTCTTTTTGTTTTTGCTTTGTTTTTTTTTTTTTTTTTTGCTGCTTGATAACTGATAACCAATTAATCTCTAATAAATCAGCTGAAGCCTTCCAATTCCTGGTTCCTTTGGAATGTGCGTGGCGCACATTTCTATAGATATACAATATAATAATTGATTACCACTTTTATTTCGCTGGAAAGGCACCAGCTCATATATATAATATAATATAATAAAAAAAATAAATCACCGACAAATAAAACGTGTAAAAATACTAAGTAGAGCTAGATACTTGTAAGCTGATATATTCGTAATTTTAAAAAATTCCCAAGCTCGGGTTTGTGGGAAGTGGGCAGTCAACCAATTCGTCGCAATGGACCTGATAAGTGGCAGCGAAATCTTAAAAATAATAATAATAATAAATAAATAAATAATAATAAATAAATAAATAAAATTATTAAACTTCTTTTTAAACGTGTATAAATCTTAATTTTTATTTATTATTTTTAATTAATATAATTTTTGAATTAAAAAAGTATTAATAAAAATTAAGTGATAAAATCAAACTCATACACTTTATCTTATTTTTCTATAAAAAAATATTGAAAACTGTGTCAGCCTCATCGGGTAGTTTCTTTTCTTTTTCTTTTTTTTTTTTATGGTAAATCACTCTCATCAAGTAATTGACATTTGGACTGTTTGGTTGTGTGGATTTGTGGAATTCTATGCCGACTTGCCAATTATTCTACTTCTTCACAGTCCAAAGTTGAGTTACTTTTCAAGTTTCATTGGAAGTTTCCACGGATAATAAGGTCATATAAAAAATCAAGGACATATTCAACCATTACTGTCAATAAAAAGAAACGACATATTCAACTCAAAAAGACTAATGTATTATGCTAGGATCTCACCTGATGCCAAGATCCAAAATCATTTCCTCTATTTCGTACGTTCGTTAATTAACTGTGAATTGTCACATGCTATTTTTTAAGTAATTAATGGCATGTTCATGTTTTCTTTAATTAACAACAACAACAACAAAGAAACAACTGTAACAATTATTATGGACATGAATAAATCATAATTAAAAAAAGGCTCAGAAGGGTATATTCAAAAGATTTTTAAATATTTTTTCAATTCTGTTAGAGTCAACGAGTCAATATGGTAACATTAAAACCAAAAGTTAAATATGCAAAGTGCGAGTGTAATTCCCAAGTAGGAATAAAAACTTCAAAACAATAAAGATTCGTTTGGTATGAGTGTTCAAATCATGATGATTTTAGTTTTAATTTTAGAATCAGAATTATGATTTATGATTTAAAGTCTAAATCATGGTTCTAAACTAAAATTAGAATCAGGAGTTTGAACCACCCAAAATCAAGAGGGAGTGGTTTTAAAATCATGGGTGATTCCTGGTTTAAAACATCACATCATGGTTCAAATTTTAAATCAGAACCATCTTTACCAAATATTAATTCTGAATGAGTCAAATTATAACCACTTTTTACTTTTTATAAACAAACACTGATTCTGAACCAAAATCATGATTCTGGGTTCAGAACCCTTACACCAAACAACACTTAAGGATGCGTTATATTTTCTCATTTTTAAATAGTAACCTTTGAGATCTTAAAGCTATTAGAATCCTTATTCACCGCATAGCTTTATGCGTCAGCATACCTAAATCCGTACTTCCACTTGATATGATATGTCTGCTTTAGGCCTATGTTAGCACGGATTTGCTTTTAAGCTTTACCCAAAACGGCCTTATACCATTAGATGTTGGTGTCATTTTTTATAAAATCGTCATCCATATCTTTCTCCAAGAGATGTGGGACTGTACAATTCACTATTTCTTGGATCTACTGCCTCAAGAAATTGATATCTAACACAATCACCTCTTTTGTGGGGACAACGTCCCCGTTGGCCACACTTTTTCATGCTTACAAGTTATGATGCCATCAGTAATGATACATCCACTTTACATAATATTATCTATTTTGGCTCTAAACTCGTACAAATTTATTTTTTAACATCACTCTAAAAAACCTTAAACTATTAGAAGATTGTGTCATTTTTTATAAACTATCACCTTTATTCTTTCGCATATGATACGGGACTACATAACATATCCTTATCAGACCAACAGCTAGATCCCGTGCCACGTGCTTCATGAGCCGCCATGTGGCCTGATGCGTCAGAGCCTAGTTGGCTTAGTTTCCCTTGTTGCTGAGCGTGGATTTTGAATACTATAAAGCCTTTATAGCTGCAAAAACGTAGGAGGACCCCTTCGACATGAATTCTTCAACAGAGCATATACTCGAAAATAATGCAAGTCCTGTTAAAGAGCTGATAGAGAAAATATCTGGAGATTTTTATTTTTAGGGGAATTTGGGGTAGTATTTAGGATGATTTTATTTAGGTTTTTGATTATTGAAGTTTGTATTTTTGAAGCCACAAGGTGAAGAAGAAGAAGATTTGGAGGACAAAATCTGGGGAACTGTGACTAGGCGGGCCGTTTCTGGTCCGGGTTGGGTTTTTTTGAGGACGGGTTGGAGATAAGCAAACCCGCAAACCGCCAGTTAAGTCACGGGCGGGTGGCGGGTGGGCGGGTTTGGTCTGCTGCTTGGTCCAATGGGCTGAGGCATTATTATTATATATAATATATAAAATAAAAGAAAAAACTCTCCGAGAGGATTCAACCCTAGTTCCCAGACGTATAAAAGGCTCTCTTTCAGTCCTTCATCGTCTCTCCTTCTTTCTCAGACTCTCTTTCTTCCATTCTTCCCTCTAAAAAATTTGAAACCATTTTTTAAGAAGCTTCTTGATTCATGCAACAACAGTTTTTGATTCTGAGGAAGTTTCTTCACTGGCCAGTTTCTTAATTTCTTGTCTCGGTTCTTCTTCATTTATTTCTTGTCTCTCACTCGAATCTGAGTTTCTAGATGACTTGACTAATTGTGACGGGCTTCAAACTGATGCGTTGAACTCGGCCTACACTTGTTATTTTTATGGGGGCTCTTTAACCATGAGCAATAGGCATGGGAGGATAAAGAAAAAAGAAAAGTAAGGAAAACTGCTATTTTTTGGTTTTGGTTCCGGTGCGCGTGGTTTCTTTACTTTAATTTGCACCTTTCTGTGAGGTCCCCCCACCGGAAAAAAGTTCTCAATACGTATTAGCCACCGCCCAACTTAGAATATATGGCACACCGGAGACTTCACTCTGTCATCCCTCTCCATGCTTAGAATCCTACCAAAATAACATCAATACCCTAAAAACGACGTCAATAAAAGTTTATTTCCTAGTTAAACGACCAAAACTTTTGAGAGTCAAATTCACATGTTCATCTCTTTCCAATAATTACTCATCTTTGTATGCCTTTTACACGGTTTGTTCCTGTTTAATTGTTTATTTTCATATACCTTTTTTTGGTGCAGAGGCTACAAAGATGAGAAATTATTGGAAAGGAATTAACACGTGGATGGAAGAATTCATGGGAGTTAAATAATTAGAGAATCAACAGATTGAATCCTATAACTATTTATAACTATTTTGTCGTTTGAATCCTAATAAAACTAAAACTAATAATCATAAAAGAACTAGAATTAATTTAAAAGATAAATGTTAATGATAAACCCAAAATAAAATTAAAACAATAAATCTAAACTAAAAGATAAATCCTAATGGTAATCTAAG